AATCAAATAAATCCAGGGCCGAGGAGATGGGTCAAAGGCTGTGGCAAAGCTTTCCCTGAGGTCCATCCATGATACCACAGGTTCCCAGAGCACTGTCAGGAGAAACCCCCAAGGACCCTAGGAAGAGCCTCTGGGCACAAAACAAAAAGAAAAAGATTAACAAGTCCACAATAATCATACGAAATTTAAAAATATGACTCTCAGAATTCGTAGGTCAAGTGAAAGAAAAATAACATGAAGGAAATATTGCAGAGGATAGCGCAGACTGCCTTCCGTCTGGGACCTCAGCGCGCCTCCCTGCATTGCCAGGGTTGGAAAGCAGAACGAATTTCCCAGAATGCCTTGCAACTATGCTCCAGCTGTGGGCCTTTAGGTGCCCCACTGGGTGTCATTGTGCAAAACACAAAGGCGGATGGGAAGGGGATGAGAGGTGAGCACCATCATCCTTTTCCTTGGGCAGCCCTTTCCTCCAAACACAATCACAAAGTCACCAGGTTTCTCTGGAGGGATGTCTGGCCTCCAGTTCTTTGCCTGTAGTGGCAGGGAGGGCTATACTTGTTTGGATCTTTGACTCATTCACACAACGGTGTGTCTGCAAACCTAATTCTGGTGAGGGGGACCAAGCCCTGTGGGCGTGCCCACAGCCATTACCAGACCACCGCAATGCTTACTTCCTCTTTCTGCTTCAAATTCCTGCTCACAATTTTGCACCAAACACTGATTTTTAGAGATTCAAGTTACTATAGATTACTATGGATTACTATGAAAAACATGACTCAAAAGCTTGAATAAATACAGAATAACAAGAAAAGTTTACATCATTAAACTGATAAATTATATCATTCAAGATTATTAACATAAATATGTGTTTGTACAAATAGGATTTGTATCATATTAAGAAAACCTTAAATATATGTATACATAAATATATATGTACATATATATAGTTTTGGGGCCATATCCAGCAGTGCTCAAGAATTAGTCCTGGCTTGGTACTCAGGCAGCACTCCTGGTGGGGCTCAGGAGATCATACGGGATACTGGGATTGAACCCCATTAAAACCATGTGCAAGGCAAGCACTTACCCATGATAGTATTTCTCTAGCCCCAGAAACCTTAAATACTTTAAAAAATATTATAGAAATGGAGGCAGGAGCAAGAGTACAGCGGGTAGGTGTTTGCTTTGCACATGGCTGACCAGGTTTGATCCCCAGCACCCCATATGGTCCCTTGGCCCTCCAGGAGTGATTCCTGAATGTAGAGCCAAGAGTAATCCCTGAGTATCACCAAGTGTGGCCCAAACCCCACCCACCCCATTATAAAAATAACTTATTTTGTAATAATAAAATGCTACATTATTTTAAAGATTAAAAAATGTATTTTTTGTTTGTTTTTGGGCCACACTCAGTGTTCAGGGCTTATATAGTTTGGACAGTTGCATGAATGGCAGTCACCTTAACATCGGTACTATCTCTCTTGACCTACATTACATTTATTTTAAATAATAACTGGTAACTTAAACTTTTTATTGATTTGAAAGCTAACCATACATAAGCTTGTACATTAGCCATGAATTAGAGAGTAAATTATAATGGAAATTATGAAAGATTTACAGCTGAATGACAATAAAAATGTCACTATTACCTATCAGGGCTTGTAGGACATGGCTAAAAAAGTACTTAGAGAAAAAATAATGGACTTAATAAATTAACTATAAATGAAAGACTTTAAAACGTGAACTTAAGGGACCAGAGAGCTAGTACAGCACCCGCCTTGCACACAGCAGACCTAGGTTTGATCCCCGGCACCCCATTTGGCATCATGAGCCCCACCAGAAGTTATCCCTGAGCACAGAGCCAGAAGTAAGTCCTGAGCAACACTGGGTGTTGCCCAAAATGCAAAAGCAACTAAAATAGCAACATAGATGATAATAATAACAACATAAAATATATAGCAGGGGCTGGAGCAATAGCACAGTGGGTAGGGCATTTGCCTTGCATGCGGCTGACCCGGGTTCAATTCCCAGCATCCCATATGGTTCCCCGAGCACCGCCAGGAGTGATTCCTGAGTGCAAAGCCAGGAGTAACCCCTGAGCATCGCCGGGTGTGACCCAAAAAGCAAATATATATATATTTATATATATATTTATATATATTTGATATATATATCAAACTAAGTTTGCTATAAATCTAGTTTTTTTTAAAAAAAGAAAAAAATTAAACCAGCCAACAACACTAGAAAGATTGATCAAGATAGTGAGAAAATTAGGGGTTGCAGAGATAGTCCAGGGGTTAAAGTGTTTGCCTTGCATATGGGCAACCCTGACTCAATCCCCAGCACTGTACATGGTCTCTCAAGTACCACCAGGAGTGAACCCCGAGCACAGAGCCAGAGGTAAATCATGAGCACAGCCAGGTCTATCCTGGCAAAAGCAAAAGCAAAATCCCAAATAAACAAAATAATCTTAGAAAAATTTAAAGTATTAACTAGAAGTCCTAAATAATAAAAATAAGAAAAAGAAATATGACACATAAAGACTGGCACAGTCTAACAAGGATAAAATCTACCAGGAAGGTGTAAATGAAGAGGCCAGGGAGGTGGTCAAAGGGTTCGAATATAAACGATGCCGCGGGAGGCCCAGGTTCAATCCTCGGGAATGCGGGGCCCCCAAACACCATGGTAAGCTACCCTTGAACACCAAGCTGGGAGTAGCCCCACATTCCACCAAGTGTGACCCATCAGAAAAAAGAAAAATATAAATAAAAAAGGGAAATACAACTTTGAAGCAATACAAGATGGAATTGCTATTCACTTACAAATCTTATGATCATAAAGTTATGAACACTATGAAAGAATGGATATGAAAGTTGCAAATTTTAATGAGTATAGTGAACTGTCTGGATACAGTGTCAATAAAGTATCACCAAGTACCATCATCTTCCTTTTCTTTCTTTTTCTTTTTTTTTTTCTTTTTGGGCCACACTTGGTGATGTCAGGGGTTACTCCTGGCTCATGCACTCAGGAATTACTCCTGTCGGTGCTCAGGGGACCATATGGGATGCCGGGGATCGAATGTGGGTTGGCCACATGCAAAACAAACAGCTACCTGCTGCACTATCTCCCTGGTCCCTTGTCTTCCTTTGCATTGGCAATAATGAAGTGGGAAGGTAATAAGCAAAAAAGTTTATTAAGCTCAGAATAATTTAATTTAAATGTACAATATCTGGATGAAAAGAATCACAAAGTATGAATTGAACATCCACATTCTGGGATGAGAAGACTTATTTCTATAAATATTTAATTTTTAAATATTTATAATCTGTAAATTCATTGAAACCTTAATATAACGTCCCACAGAATTCCTCAGGGGATGGCAGCGAAAATAAGATACTACAGTTCATATAGAAGAATGCAGTATATAAATATATAGAATATATCTATAACCACCTACTGCCAGGGATCAAACCTGGGTCGTCTGTATACCCCTGCTCTATCTCTCCAGCCTACATTCGCTTTTTAAATCTATCGGGTTTTTTTTTTTGCGATCTATGCATATTAATATTTTGATCCTTCAATTGATCTTCCTCACTCCTTCTAACTGCAGTGCGGTGTTTCCATCGATCCCGAAGCTTCCGCTAGTCGCACCCGGCCCGGGTTTAACGCCAGCTCTTCCCCCACCCCGCTGCCCACAGAGGCTGACAAATCCCTAGGTCTTCACTGAAAGTGTTTCAGACTCATTTGCTCTAAATGTCAGCTGGTTTCCAGGGTTAACAGAGAGTGCAGAGGCCGCGGAGAGGGCTGGGGGTGCCCTATGCTTGGGATTCCCCGGGCTCCGGGCCCTCGATGCTCCCTGAGCACTGCCAGGAGCGACCCCCAGCACTGTGCACGGCCACAGGGGGGCCCCTAGCAAAGCAAAATGAGACCAAAAAAAAGATTGCTGACTCGGGTTGGGACCTGGGAGCGTGTCTTAAGTTTCATCTTTTCCCCTTTGGGCCACACCCGGCAGTGCTCAGGGATTATTCCTGGCTCTGTGCTCAGGAGTCACTCCTGGTGGTGCACGGAGGGGGGGGCGGGGCGGCACAGGGACGGGGAGACACCACATGGGGTGCCACGGATGGAACCTGGGACGGTCCCTGCAAAGCAAACACCTTATCCGACGTACTGTCGCTCCAGCCCCATTGGGTTTCATCTTTCTATCAGGCTTAGGTGTGCATTTTTGTCTGTCCGAATTATATGTTTATATTTGAGATAAAAATATGATCGTTAATAATGAGGTGTGCCTTCTCCAGCACTCCAGAATGGAGTTTCAACTGTGAGGCAGGTATCCAAAGCCCTTTGTTGCCTTGGGGCCCTTCCCCATGGGCACTCCCTTCAGGGGGCCCAAGTAGTGACACCTCCTCTGGGAAGCCCTCAGGAAGAAGCTAGGAGAGCGCGTGCGCTCCGCCCTGGCCTGGACGCAAGCACGTCAGGTCCCGCCCTGCCCTGCGTGGCCCCGTGCTCCGTCCGCCCCTGTTTTCTGCCCCCATCTCCGCCCCCACGTGCTCCAGGCCTCCTCTCCTGGGTGAGGGTGTGTGTGGGCGGCGGGTGGGGTGCGGACGGGGTTCCTCTGACCAGCCAAGAGCCCTGCTTGGGGAGGACTGTGAGGTGGGGGCCCACGGGAGGGGGTCGTGGGGACCCCATCGCTGGGTGGACGTGGGGAGAGAATCCCGGTTCTTTGCCCTGTCTTTGGCGGTCCACTAACAAGTCTGAGCAGGAAGCCGGGTGGAAAACCCAGTTCCCGAGCCCCCGAAGCCCCAAGGATCTCTGCAGCAGCTGGGGTCGGAGGGGGCGCATTCCCAGTCCCACCCCACCAGCCCCCACCCCTGCACCCAGCAGCCTCGGCCGCAGGGGCTGGCAGGGCTGGGGTCATGCCCTGAGGGAGGCTCCCCCCCAGTTCTCACTGACTAGGAGAGGGTCCCTGGGGTCCCGGGAGTGACTCGCGCTCTGTCTCCCCTCAGGCCATGTCTCAAGAGGCCTCTGCAGAGGCCTCGGGCACAGTGGACACTGTCTTCAGCCCCTCACACTGCTTTTTGCCCTGCGTGGAGGACGAGGGCCAAGGCGGCTTCCTGTCGTGGCTGGTCCCCGAGCTGCCAGAGGCTGGCTGGGAGACTGGAGTCTGCGCAGGCAGCAGAAGCCAGGATGTAGACGAGGAGGCCCACCCGGGTACCTGCCCCCAGCCTGGGGGTGCTGCTGCCCTCAGCCCAGACACCGAGGCCCACTTGGTGCAAGCCCCAGGGCCGGGCCAGGAGCAGGAGCCCAGCCCCAAGGCCACCTCCCTCTTGCCGGTCTCTGCTCAGGGGCGGACTCGGTCCAGCAGGAGGCTCCAGAATTCTCTGCCCCGTGTCTTAGCTGGAGGCCGGCCCAGCACCCACTGCATTGTTTGTCGAGATCTCCCGCAGAGAGCCCGGGTAGTCCCCAAAGCCGTGCCTCCCAGGCCTGGAGAGGTGGAGAAAGGTGGGAGGGGTGCTTCAGGGTATAATGAAAGGAGTCCGTCCTTCAGGAAAGGGAGGTTCCCCAAAAGGTACCCATCGCACTCACCGGGCCCGGCCCCTGTCAGGGCACAGAAGGAAAGAAGGAGGCGGGAGTGTTCAGGACAGGGCAAGGAGGGGGCTGGTGGCTTCTCATGGCTCAGGGGGAACAACCCCCCCAGTGGATCCTTGGGAGGCCCCCGGGGGCCGCTCTCTCCCGGGAGCACTGGGCTTGGCCCGGGAGAATTGGGTGGAAATTGGATGGAGTGGGTCTTGGAGACTGCTGAGGTGGAAGGTTTCACCCCCGGAGGGGATGGGGCCCAGACAGACAGCCCCTATGACACTGCTGGTTCCCTGCAGTCAGATGGGGGCAAGCCCCGAGGAGAAGCTGCTGGAGGGCCTCCTCAGAGCCCTGTCCTCTGCCTGGATGGGCCAGGAAAGGCTACCATGGAGCATCGAGAGTCTGGGCACAGGGTCCCAGATGGTGCTGCTGAAGGCTGTGCTACCTCACTGGCCCCAGGGGAGCAGGAAGAACAGGCTCAGGCCTTATGCAGGGCCAGACCTGAGCAAGGCCTCACTTCTGCCCCTACCTTGGCCTATTGCCCGGAGCCTGTGACCAGCCAGCCTCCCTCAGGACCAGCCACAGGACAGAGACCATCCCACAGTGCTGAGACGCTGAGGAAGAGCCCAGAGCTTCACGCCCAGGACCAGGGCACAGGCAGAAACTCAGACGATCCATCCACAGAGAAGCTGGTGAGTGAAATTTCTGAAGGGCCCGGCTGGTCTCTTGGCATCAAGCATGGGGCTGGAATTTTAAAAAGCTCAGCTGGGTGGTGATAGGGGGAGGCAGGACGGTGGCCAGAGAGGTAGAACAGTGGGTAGGGCATTTGCTTGCACGTGATGGAGCCGGGTTCAATCCCTGGTGTCCCATATGGTCTCCTGAGCACCTTCAGGAGTAATTTCTGAGTACAAGAGCCAGAAGTAACCCCTGAGCATCACCGAGTATGACCCAAAAATCTAAAATCTAAATAAATAAATAAAGCTCAGCTTGATGGGTTCTCAATGAATACTGTCTCTCCACCCATTTTATATAGAATAAATGGAGGCCCATCAAGTCAAGAAAGGAAATGAGATTTTCTGATATTTTGTGAGAATTCAGTATCTTTTAGAACTGGCATGGCCTGGGTTCTGATCTTGTCTCTGCCCTCTTCCTGAGAGCGATATCTATCTATCTATCTATCTATCTATCTATCTATCTAATGCTTTGGGCCACACCTGGTGGAACTCACAGCTTTTCCTGGCTTAGTACTGGAGGGGGAATGGTCACTCACTGTGGTGCTCAGGGGACCCGATGGTGCCAGGGACTGAGCCCAGAGTTCCTGCATGCATTACATGACTTGTAGCCTGTTGTGCTTCTTCCCGGCCTCACCTGGCAATATTTTTTAAACTAAATTTTCTCATTGGTAAAAGGGGAATGATAATTTCAACTTAAGGAGGATGTTTTGAAGATTAAATGAGATGACGGTGTGAAATAACACGCCTAGAACAACATAAGGCACCAGCAGATTGCTTAATTTATGTTAAATTTGCTTTTCCTCTTTGGTTTTAGTTGCCATATATTAAAGATTTTTTTTTTCATTTGAGACACCGTGACTTACAATACTTCCAGTGACAGGGTTTCACGTATACACAGTTCTAACATCATACCCTCACCAGAGTGTCCGCTTCCCTCCACCATTGTCCCTAGATCCCCTCCCAACCACCTTCTGCCCATGGAAGTCCGGCTTTATAGACCATTTTTCAGGTTCTGTTGTCTTTGGCCATTTTTTATGCTCACATTATATTTTTCACATATGAGAGAAATGAGTCTGTACTTGACACTCTCCTTCTGAGTTATTTCACTCAGTGTGAGATCGTCCAGCTTCGTCATGTAGCAGCATATGGTATGATATCCACACTGTATCACTGTATCACTGTCATCCTGTTGGTTATCGATTGCCTCGAGCAGGCCCCAGTAACGTCTCCTTCGTCCTAGCCCTGAGATTTTAAAAAGTGCCACATTTGAGGCTCTTTCAGGGTCAGGAGAATGAGACCCATCATTGTTACTGGTTTTTGGCATATTGAATACGCCACAGGGAGTTTGCCAGACTCTGCCGTGTGGGCAGGATACTTTTGGTAGCCTGCCAGGTTCTCCAGAGTAAGGCCTAGATTATAAGATGTCCGCATTCGCGGCCACGCACTTCTGGGAGCAGGGTTTTATAGTCTCTGGGTCTTGGCCGTTGATGGGATTACACGGCGCGGGGGGCAGTTGGTGGGTGTAATGCCTGGAAGATGGGGGATCTGGGTGGAGGAGGACCCAGTCCCAATCCAAACAGGCTTGGAGATCTACACCCCGGGTCCCGGTATGATATCCATCTTTTCTTATAGTTGAGTACTACTCCATTGTTCATATACATCACAGTTACTTTTAGTTTGCTTGGTTTGGGGCCACAGTCAGCTGTGCTAATGGCTTACTCCTGGCTCTGCACTCAGGGATCGCCTGGGAGGAGACCGGGAACCATGTGGGGGTGCAGGGGATTAAACCCAGATTGGATACATGTAGGATGAGCCCTTTACCTGATGTACTCTCTCGGTCCGCAGCGTATCACAGTCTCTTTATCCAGTCACCTGTTCTTGGACACAGCTTTTGGCTATTGTGAATAGTGCCCCAGCAATTATGGAGCACAAATACCTTTTTGAAATAGTGTTTTGGGGTCTTTGTGGTAGCTGCTGAGAAGTGGAATTGCTGGCTCCTTTGAAAGTATTTTCCTTGAGTTTTAACAATTGTCCTGTAATTTTTACAGGCTTGGGGGGAAGATGCAGGGTGTGCTCAAGTGTTAGAGAACGTGGCTAGCTTGTAGGAGGCGCTGGGTGTGACTTCTGCTTGCTCGCGCGCGCGCGCGCGCGACACACACACACACACACACACACGATAAGCATGGGAAAACTGAGAATCCATGAAGTTAACAAACTTCTTGAAGCTTATTCAGGAGAGTCAGTGCTGGGTCATGTTCCCTGTAGTTGCTGCTTTGTTCTCTTGCTTATAATAATAATCCTTTTCTTTTTTCTTTTTTTTTAATTGAATCACCGTGAGATAGTTACAATCTTTCATGTTTGAGTTATAATCACACAATGATCAAACACCCACCCCTCCACTAGTGCACATTCCCACCACAATCTCCCCAGCGTACCTCCCCCCCTTTCCCACCCTCCCACTGCCTCCATGGCAGACAATATTCCCCATACTTTCTCTCTACTTTTGGGCATGAAAGTTTGTAATACAGATACTGAGAGGTTATCATGTTTGGTCCTTTATCTACTTTCAGCACACATGGGGGTCAAATCTAATCCTTTTCTTAATGACCAGGGCTAACTTGTTTTCTCACCAAAGGCAGAAGATGTCACATATTTCTTACAGTGTGGACTTTTTATGGTGTGTATTATGTGCTGGGTGCTTTTGTCATGTTGTTCACATATAGTCTAGCGAGGTAAGGTAACAGGCTCATGGTCACAGAGCAGATGAAGGCCTGAGTCAGGATAGAAATCCAGGAGGCTTGTCTTCATTGCACTGCCTGCTGGGGTGCAATGTCTTCCCTGCCAACATCACTAGTGTTGCCTCTACCTACTCACTGTGTGCTGTGAAGCGTCCCGGACATCTCTGGTGCAGTCTTCTCACAGTCTGTCAGGTTGATGCTTTTCATGTATACCCATTTTACTGAGGTGGACACTGAGGCTCTGAGAGGAAACATGACCAAACAGCTCCAGAGGAGACAACCAATCACTTGGACTATGGTTTGCATCAATGTGCAGTCTTTGGTTTGGTTTGTCACTATCTGGGACTATAATTATAATTGGTGCTATTATATTGTCTTTGTAAGCCACTCAAAAATTAATTTTTACTTAAATTTTTTTTGTTTCTCCTAGGAAATAAATTTTAAAATCCCCATGAAGTCAATATTCAGGGACCAGAGTGATAATAAAGAGGGTAGGGCATTTGCTTTGCACATGACCAACCCGGTTTTAATCCCTGGCATCCTGTATGGTTCTCCCCTCCCCCCCAGCACCACCAGGAGTAATTCCTAAGTGCAGATCCAAGAGTAACCTCTGAGAATCACCGGGTGTGACCCAAAAAGCAAAAAAAAAAAAAAAAAAAAAATCAGAGCTATCTCTTGCTGACATTTTGAAATATGTCCTTTCTTTTCTCATTTTTGATGAATATTTATATTTTTTTCCAACTAGAAATGGAATCATGTGTGCTGAATTTTATAATGTGACTATTTTTTGGTTTGTTTTTGGGCCACGCCTAGCAGTGTTCCAAACTTAATCCTAACTCTGCACTCAGGGATTATTCTTGGCAGTGTTCAGGGCACCATACGCGGCACTTCTCAGGGGACCATATGTGGTGACCCTATTTTAGGACTAGCATTAGGCCAAACAGGGTTGACTACACACTGGGCAAGCACCTTAACCCCCATGCTATCTCTCTAGATACCAAACCCACAATTTGGATTTTTTGTTATCTGAAAACATATACGGGGCTGGAGTGATAGCACAGTGGGTAGGGCGTTTGCCTTGCACGTGGCCGACCTAGGTTCGATTCCCAGCATCCCATCTGGTCCCCCGAGCACTTCCAGGAGTAATTCCTGAGTGCAGAGCCAGGAGTAACCCCTGTGCATCACTGAGTGTGACCCCCCCCAAAACAAAACAAAACAAAACAAAACAAGAAAACCATTCACAGACTGGAGAGACAGCAAGGCACTGCTGTCTTGCAAGCAGCTGACCCTGGCTCAGTCCCTGGCACTAAATGCTTCCCTAAGTCTGGAGCGATTCCTGAGCACAGAGCCAGGAAAAGCCACCAGCACCACCCCCAATGTGGCCCAAAATCACACTCCCCCACCCCACCCCGACTAATTAAAGTGTTTACAGTTAGCACGATAGCAGGGGGTGAGGAAGCCCCTTTTATGCCTCCTGCCTGTGGCCCTGGTAATCCACAGAGGCAGTTAGAGTCCTGAGCTCCTCCTGTGAGCCTCTAATAGTGAACAGCTGATACATGAGTCTTTTTATGTCCAAATAATCTCCAACAACTCTTCACTGTTCCGGGGTGGGAGCTTAGTTTATTTTTACACCTCATTGTTCTGGGGTTTGCACAAGTTTATTATTATTTTTTTTAACACTATAACATCTGAAGAAATTTCCAGGGCAAGTATATTTGTTCTTTCTGAACCCAGATCCTCACTGACTGTGTACAGATTTGCCCCAGCCCACAGCACTGCCAGGAGCAGAGGTCGGGCAGGGATTTCCTTTCCTCATTTCTGACCACAGAGGTGCACAGTTAGGTCGTGGTCTAGAGGTCACCAGGCTGTCCCCCTCTCACTGCTCCCCCCGCCTCCATCTACCCATCTGCACAGTGGGGCACTGAGGAGCCCTGGCCTGCGGGGGTGGCTGGGAGGAACGAGTGAG